ATGGCCACTCCAAAATGTTCCAGCCTTTCCTCTGCAACCATGCTCTAGTGGACTTGGAAGGTATGCTTGGGATCATTGTCCTGTTGAAAGGGTCCAACGTCTCCCAAGCCTCAGGTGTGTGAGGGACTGCATCACGTTTCCATCCAATATCTCCTGGTACTGAAGAGAATTCATGTTACCTTGCACACGCTGAAGCTTCCCCTGTACCTGCAGAAGCAAAACAGCCCAAAGCATGATTGACCCTCCACCATGCTTCACAGTAGGCAAGGTGTTCTTTTCATCATAGGCCTTGTTCTATCCTCCTCCAAACATAGCCTGTGATCCATGGGCCCAAACAGTTCTAAATTTTGTTTCATCAGTCCACAGAACACTATCCACAACTTTTGTGGTTGTCCACATGGCTGTTTTGGCATACTGCAGTCGACTTTCTTCTTATTCTTTGGAGACAGCAAGGGGGTACGCCTGGGAGTTTCTGGCACGGAGGCCTTCATTACGCAGTGTGGCGTCTTATTGTCTGGGCTGAAACTTCTGTACCCACATCTGACAAATCTTTTCTCAGTTCCTCAGCAGTCGCTAAAACGGGGACTTCTCTCCACTCTACGCTTCAGGTAGCGCACAGCAGTGGAAGTCAGCATCTTCTTTTGCCAAACGACCAGGTAGCGTTTCAACAGGCCCTTTGCCTTGAATTTGCGAATGATGCTTCCTAAGGTGTCTCATTGTCTTGGTAATGTTTAACATCTTTGCAATCTTCTTATAGCCATTGCCCTTCCTGTGAAGAGAAATCACCCTCTTCTCTTGTCTTCCTGGACCATTCTCTTGCCTTCAAAATGTTTGTAACCACACCAGTAAATGTCTAGAAGGAGTCACATGATCACAGTCATTTTAAAGCTGCCTAATTGGTGCTTATTATGCTTGATTGCTGCTCGGTGACATCCACAGGTGTTTTCAATACCTGATGGATTTAGCACCTGTATGAACCTCTGTTCTTCAGAGTGGTAGTCTTTAAGGGGTTGAATAATTGTGGCAATGAAGATGCACCACATAAGAACCATTTACTACTGTATTACATAAACAATTGATGTCATTTTAGTTGCATTTGGGTAGTTACAACGTCCTTTGAAGGATTTTTGATTCTGAATACAATTCCAATGTACACTATAGTCCCTAAACCCCTTTACAGCATTGGGGGTTGAATAATTTTTGGACACAAGTGTATATTGATTGCTTTGTGTGAAAGTTATAGCGTCTACAAACTATGGTATAGATACTGCAATTTACGCCATTTTTTTGCTATACAGCGCTGCGCTAGTTTAACGGACAATTGCGCGGGTCATGCAATACGGTACATAAATGAAATCATCCTTTTTTTTCCTACAAATTGAACTTTCTTTCGGTGGTATTTGATTGCCTGTTTTTAATTTTTGCGCTATAAAAAAAGGCTGACAATTTTGAGGAAAAAAAACAATATTTTGGACTTTTTGCTATAAAACGTATCCAGTAAAAAAAAAAAAAATGTAAAAATCAAATTTAGTCATAAATTTCTGCCAAAATGCATTCTGCGACATGTCTTTGCTAAAAAAAAAAAAACAATACGTGTAAATTAATTGGTTTACGTGAAAGTAATAGCATTTACAAATGGCGGAAAGATACTGGGATTTTTAGTTTTTTTTATACTAATAATGGCGGCGATCAGCGACTCATGGCGGCGATCAGCGACTCATGGCGGCGATCAGGACTGGCGGGGCGGGACATTCTGACACTGGGGGGGTACTGACTTGCGGTCACTGACATCCCCAGTGACACCAATACAGTGATCAGTGCAACAAAAAAAAAAAAAAAACACTGACACTGTACTAATGGCACTGGGGAGGAAGGGGTTAAGTTTATTTTGCAGGGAAGGGTTATCTGTGGGAGGGGGAGTGTTTTACTAGGGGGCGGGGGTGTGTACTGCACGGGACACGGCTGATCAGGAGAGTGAAACTCTTCTGTCCCGATCAGCTTGTCCTCGAGCTGTCAGGGAATTGACAGAAAGCACAGCTACTGCAGCTGTGCTCTCTGTCACTGATTGCCGCCGATCGCCAGGAGATAGCCGGTAAGGACCGGCTGTGACCCGGCGACTGACATCCGCAGCTGTGATCGGCGGGACAGGTAGGGCGGCGGTGCACCCCCTGTTTACAAAACACACGTTTTAAAAAGTGGTTTTGCCTGCCCGTGCCACCCTGCCGCCGTATTTCTACAGTGGCAGGGCAGCAAGTGGTTAAGAATCCGCGCATGAGCCGTGACCTGCAAGGGACAGAAGTTATGGGGTGAACTTTATGATTTTGTCGTCCGATTTTTTTTACCGTTGGTGGTAACGTCGGCCGAATGAACGACCGATTTTCCGTTTTTTTTTTTTTTTTCGAAAAATCGTCCGATGTTCGACTCCCTTTTATGGCCTGCATTAGTGTCAGCAGCACTAGTATACACAGAAGGTTGGCGAGTTTTTTGTTGCGCTGAAGTTTTACTTGTACACATAACATATGTGCAATCCTCAAAGTAAAGAGCGTGTGCCAATATCACATATGTAATATATCATCTGGCATAAATAAACTCCCACACAACTCCTTATAAAGTGCATAGGAAATTTATATACTGCATAACATACAGTATGTGCAATCCTCAAAATTAGGTGTGTGTGCCAATATCACATATGTAATATAATCATCTGACATAATTAAACTCCCACATAACTCCTTATAAAGTGCATATAGTAACCACTATGCCAAATTTCACATATACAGTGTGATCATCTTTCAATAAATGACTCCCAACATAATAATTCAAGCCGTTATAAAATGTGCAAATTTCTCTTTAAACAGTCAATATATTCTCATAGATATCCATGCAACTTCCTGCCATGTTGAAAATCACCCATGTGTAGTCCTCCTCCACCAGCACACTTACATACTCTCACCTCCTGGATCTGACCTATAAGTATTTAGGCCAAAAAGCGCTTTTCCCTTATAACCCAGGTAGGTATGTTTTTCTTTTACTCTCCAACCTCCAATCTCCTCCACACTCTAATCCAGGTTGGTCTTCCTATTACTTATACAGCATATCCTCCAAAAATCCAGAAAAATGCACATCATAGTGTATCACTTGTATCCACCAATATTTATTAAACGATAAGTACACTTACATAAAAAGTGCCTGGTTGGGATACTGCAGTTAAACAGCTTCCAAAAAAACAAATTTGGCATTCTAAGGTAACTCACAAGATGGTGGCTCGCAAACTTCTGGTAGTGCAGCTTGACGTCATCAGCCGACCCTACGCGTTACGTCACAACACGTGACTTCATCAGGGATTCAGAGGTCTGCATGTACAGTCCAACCTCCTTATCCTCCAAACTTAAAGTTAATCTGATGACTGTAGCACTACCCCCCTAGGAGTCGCTGAGTTTTTTGGGTCAACCTATAGTCCTGCACAGCCAGGCAACACACATTTTGTTTGGACCTTGCACACTGGAGATCGTAAACATTCCTTGAGCTTGTTCTTTTTTGTGATTTTATTGAGGAGTTGATAATCTGGATAGGGTTGATGGGTGTATGGCATGCCCATTGAAACTGCAACTTGGGAACAACTCCTTAGCAACTATGTATAAGTCCACAGACAAAGATTCTCTTCTTGAAGAGCTCTCCAGCCCTTCTGGTGTCCCTCCTCAGACCCCAGATGAATCCTCTTCACCCAGCTGCCTGAGAGAATTCCAGAGCAAGGGGACCCAGAAACTGCCACTGTAGTACAGCAGCCCCAGATGAGTAGCTAGTTGGATGTACCACCTGACTGCCCTCTCCCCTATCCAGCCCAGGGGGTGCAGAATTACTCAGTCTTCACCTGTAAGCTTGTTGGGTTGGTGGCTGCCATCAGGCCTTGTGCTGGGCTGGCTCCTTCCCTGCTTCCCAGGCTGTCCTCTCTCAGAGGATAGATGAAGGCTGAGAGATCCTCCTTCCCATATCCTGCCAGTAGGTCCCTAGGCTCCACACTCCAGCTTTCTAACATCATCTTCCACACAACACTGACCACTTCCTGATCAGGCTCTCCCATACTTAAGGGCTGCCCTGACTCCATGCCAAGCCTTCTGCTTGGGGATTGGTCAGAGTCCCCTGAGTATGCAGATCAGCCCCTCTTCACCCCCATCCACTGACTTCTAGAAGCCTCTCAAGCTTCTAGAGCAGGGAACACCAGGGTATCAGCCTGGCTGACTCATCCCAGGCTGCTGTCTAGCCTCTAACTATAAACCTAGCTAGCTCCCCTTGGCTAATTAGAGGGGCGCTACATGACTTTAACAGTTTAGCAGTGCCTCTGCTTCGACCGAGATCCTGAATCCATCTCATCTCAAGACTGTAAAAGGAAGAGGGGAGGGAATTGACCTGTCACTATCTAAGTCAGTTCTGGAAGTGACGACTGGGATGTAGAGGGAGGAGCCACCACAAGGTTGATGAATCTAATGCACTGAGTATGTCAGCAACTTCAGAATGAAAACTGGAGATCATCTCTGTAAAGGAAGATGAATTTAGCACACATTGCAGTTTTTTTACATACAAGAATAGCTTTTATTTACAACTACTGCAGGAGATACAGTCCTTCCTTTGGCAAAACCCTGACTGCACCTTTCCTGTTCTCCTAATGCATAGAAGGCATTTTTGCAGCCACTTTTAGGGGTGTCAGGTGGTTTTTTTTTTTGGTTTTTTTTTACTGCTTCCAAACACCCCTCCATGTTATCCTATGTGTCCAGTCACACAGATTTTAGAAGCTTTTAGTGGCAGGGGCTTTTAGAGGCCGGAAAAAAAAACATACTACCAGTGTGTCCAGGAGCAGCCGAGTTTGGGCAGAAAAAAAAAAGCTTGACACTACTAAACAATGATAAAAGCTGCTAAGCGCCTAAACACTAGGTGCATTTAGCCCTTGAGCGTTAATTCATTCCTCATCCAAAGAGGTCTGCATGTACAGATGCACATTTTGGCTACAAGATATTCAACAAATATTCTAGGCAAAGTACCTTATCAAATCCTTGTTCTTCCAATTTGCCGCCAAGAATTTCTCCAATACCGGCCAGTGCTGTGATTGGTTTATCACCCATAGGCTCAGACACAAAGTCCCGATGCTTCTGGGAAGTGTGCGACATCCTTGCTGTACAAATGACAAGCAGTAAAGACTGAGTAGTTGGCCACTTTGGCAAAGCAATATTTCAGATTCAGATATTACATGTGACGATTTGGCAAGATTAGGATTATGTAGAGCACTGGTCTCCAAACTGCAGCCCAGGGCAAGATGGAGCCCTTTACTTGCCTTTATCTGGCCCTTGGAGCACTATTCCTCCCACTAACAATAAGGCATAATTCCTGCCACTGACACCAACAGTGTGGCCCAATTCCTTCCATGGACACCAATGGGGCACTATTCCTCTCATTGACCCCAATGGTGGGCACTATTCCTCCCACTGACACCAAAGATGGGCTCTATTCCTCTGACACTATGGTGGGACACTATTCCTCCCACTGACAGCTATGATGGGACACTATTCCTCCCACTGACACCTATGGTGGGACACTATTCCTCCCACTGACACCTATGGTGGGACACTATTCCTCCCACTGACACCTATGATGGGACACTATTCCTCCCACTGACACCTATGGTGGGACACTATTCCTCCCACTGACACCTATGATGGGACACTATTCCTCCCACTGACACCTATGGTGGGACACTATTCCTCCCACTGACACCTATGTGGGACACTATTCCTCCCACTGACACCTATGGTGGGACACTATTCCTCCCACTGACACCTATGGTGGGACACTATTCCTCCCACTGACACCTATGGTGGGACGCTATTCCTCCCACTGACACCTATGTGGGACACTATTCCTCCCACTGACACCTATGGTGGGACACTATTCCTCCCACTGACACCTATGGTGGGACACTATTCCTCCCACTGACACCTATGGTGGGACACTATTCCTCCCACTGACACCTATGGTGGGACACTATTCCTCCCACTGACACCTATGGTGGGACACTATTCCTCCCACTGACACCTATGGTGGGACACTATTCCTCCCACTGACACCTATGGTGGGACACTATTCCTCCCACTGACACCTATGGTGGGACACTATTCCTCCCACTGACACCTATGGTGGGACACTATTCCTCCCACTGACACCTATGGTGGGACACTATTCCTCCCACTGACACCTATGGTGGGACACTATTCCTCCCACTGACACCTATGGTGGGACACTATTCCTCCCACTGACACCTATGGTGGGACACTATTCCTCCCACTGACACCTATGACACCTATGGTGGGACACTATTCCTCCCACTGACACCTATGGTGGGACACTATTCCTCCCACTGACACCTATGGTGGGACACTATTCCTCCCACTGACACCTATGATGGGACACTATTCCTCCCACTGACACCTATGATGGGACACTATTCCTCCCACTGACACCTATGATGGGACACTATTCCTCCCACTGACACCTATGATGGGACACTATTCCTCCCACTGACACCTATGATGGGATACTATTCCTCCCACTGACACCTATGATGGGATACTATGGGATACTATTCCTCCCACTGACACCTATGATGGGATACTATTCCTCCCACTGACACCTATGATGGGATACTATTCCTCCCACTGACACCTATGATGGGACACTATTCCTCCCACTGACACCTATGATGGGACACTATTCCTCCCACTGACACCTATGATGGCACACTATTCCTCCCACTGACACCTATGATGGGACACTATTCTTCCCACTGACACTATGATGGGACACTATTCCTCCCACTGACACCTATGATGGGACACTATTCCTCCCACTGACACCTATGATGGGATACTATTCCTCCCACTGACACCTATGATGGGACACTATTTCTCCCACTGACACCTATGATGGGACACTATTCCTCCCACTGACACCTATGATGGGATACTATTCCTCCCACTGACACCTATGATGGGATACTATTTCTCCCACTGACACCTATGATGGGACACTATTCCTCCCACTGACACCTATGATGGGATACTATTCCTCCCACTGACACCTATGATGGGACACTATTCCTCCCACTGACACCTATGATGGGATACTATTCCTCCCACTGACACCTATGATGGGACACTATTTCTCCCACTGACACCTATGATGGGACACTATTCCTCCCACTGACACCTATGATGGGATACTATTCCTCCCACTGACACCTATGATGGGATACTATTCCTCCCACCGACACCTATGATGGGATACTATTTCTCCCACTGACACCTATGATGGGATATTATTCCTCCCACTGACACCTATGATGGGATACTATTCCTCCCACTGACACCAATCATGGACACTATTCCTCCCACTGACAACAATGATGGACACTATTCCTCCCACTGACACCAATGATGGGCACTATTCCTCCCACTGACAGCAATGTTGGGGCACTAGTCTTTCTAATGACACCAACGATGGGACATTCCCCTGATGTGGATGGTCATTAGCATTTTTGCTAGTTTGTGCGATTCTTGTGATGTGCTTTTTTCACACAGAATGTACAAAGTAATAAAATAAATGTGCAGGAGGATGCCAATTATTCCATTGTGGGCCCAACACAAAGTTTTTCTGGCTCTACTCTGCAATTGAAGGCTTCAGTCCACTTAAACCGAGTGCCTTTAGTCTTTGGAAGATGTTGGAAAGTTAAACTTCAGATTTCTTAATGCTCTGTCAGTGAGATCTATGCACTCAATTTTCCAAAGCTAAACAATTTTGGTAGTTATGAGGGGCATGGTGTATTTTTCAGTAGAAGGTGTAATGAGAGAAGCGGGTACGTCCATTCTGTGGCTGGAGAAGCAAGACATCAAGGTTGGTGGAAACACAGCTGGGAACTAAGGTGCAGAGATCTCATCACTAGTATTACCAATATATGTACGTAAGCAGAGGGTGACAAAGTATACAAGAATTCATCTAAAATTGAAGCACTGGATGGAATGCCCCTATAAAGGCATCTTGAATTTGGAGATCTGTGCCATGCTAAAACAGTAAACTATCATAGCAGCATGTTGGCCAAATGCTGTTGGCTGCTGAACAGAAATATTATCCATTGCTAATATTTTGGCCTCGTTTGGTGCCTAGGTTACAGCTGTAAGTCTGCTCACTCAATTCTTGAGGCTGGAGAAAAAGGTTAACCCTCAAAACATGTTGCCTGTGCCCTGGACACAGCTTGCACCCCTTTCCATCCAAAGACGAACTGGAGTTTTGACCGCTGCAGCTAACATCATGACATCTAGAGCAGAAGTGACATCTGCAAGAACACTTGTTTCCCTCTGGCCGGATATTCACTACCAAAGCTGAAAAAATGCAAGTTGCAAAAATGCCACTCTGATTTTTTTTTTCTAATAAATTTTACCTGATTTCACAAGATCTATGCGTTTTTCTGCTTTCTTCTATTCATTTTAGTCTGTAGATAGCCTTCTTTTAATTTGAAGCTGCTGATCTCAATCTAATAGCCCACCTATTAGATTGTGAGCTCCCATGAGCAGGGGCCTCCTAATCCTCCTAGTTTGAATTGTATTGTAACTTTACTGACTCCCTTTATATTGTAAAGTGCTGTACAAACTGTTGGCGCTATATAAATCCTGTATAATAATATTTCCCTTCCTGGGAAACTCTTCCATTCTCTACACACTTGCTGGAAATTGCCACCACCCCAATGCTCTCAAGAATACAATTAACCAAGTAATGTGCATTATTCATTTTCTGTCTACTGTCAGGACAGCTGGTTTCCTATAACCATTTGACCTCCAGAAGGTTTAACTCCCAGGGCATTTCTTGTTATTCAGCACTGTGCTACTCAAAGTTATATAACCTTTTCACACAAATAGAGTTTTCTTTTGGTGGTATTAAATCACCACTGGGGTTTTTACATTTCTGCTATACAAACAATAAAATTGCAAAAATTTTGAAAACACAGTTTTAGTTTCTGTTATAAAATTTAGCAAATTCATTAACTTAAATTTATAATTTTAGGCCAAAATGTAGTCAGTTAAATTTCTTTTGTAAAAATACCCCAAATCAGGGTTTATTATTTAGTGTAGTATAGTATTTACTGTGCGAAAGTAATGGCGTCAAACTATGGTATATATTTGAAAATAAATCCTGATGTACTGATGGCCTCTCATTTCTTGAAACTCTACAATGACAGGACAGTAGAAAGTTAGAAAGTGCAAGGTATTTTTTTTTAAGAGGCATGGCAAAATTTTTTGAAGTTGTAATTTTTTGTCACAATTTTTTGAAAAAGAAAAGTAAATTTTTTTTATTTTTTACATACTGCCACCAGTGCAGTACAGAGCATTAGATGACTGGTGTGGCGGTCTTAATATGACTGGTAACAATATGAAAAAAAAAATTTTAATTAAATTTTTTAAACTTTGTTTTTTTTTTACTGTTATCAGAGTAGCTCAGTGTCACTATGGTACTTCTCTGGGTGGGTGATCAGAGAATTTTTTTTTTTTTTGCACCGATTGCTCGTTACAGTGATGGTCGTAACAGCAAATGTTCGAATTGGCATTAATGGATTTTATTTTTTCTGTTATGATGCTGTGATTGGTCACAGCTAATCACATGGTACAGGGTGCTGTGATTGGTGCAGGTACCATGTGATCAATCACAGATCACACAGATTCCATTCATGATTATTGTTTACTAGGTGACGTGATCTCACAGCAATCACATGGTATCTGGGTCAATCAGCAGCCCGATACCAAGCACTGGGCAGTATGCATGAGTGGGGCAACACATGGGTATGTCGTGGTGGCTGCTCAAGCCGCCGACCAGCAGTAAAATTACTGTTAGCCAGTCGGCAAGTGGCAAAAGCTGCTCTCAAGGTTAACTATGATTTTAAACTTTTTGTTTGGACCAAGCTGGCCCAAACGAACTATTTAATTAACTAACAGATGTGCCCACTGGGATGGTGACATAATCCTCCCACCCTTCCATCTCTCGCCTTTCCACCTCAGCAATTCAGAGGAAGCCTTGCATTCACTCATAAAATACAAAGCTTTGTATGATTGGATAAGCAGTGCTCAGC